AATGCACCACACGGGACTACATCGGAGTATTCCACATGTGGAGCAGAAGCCATATCGAGAATAGCAATGGTAAAAGAATGTATCAGCAACCATGTAATACTTATCGTCATTGGACTTGGTAAACCCCTTTATGCGTCTGTTGCGTTCCTTAAGCCATAGGGTGTATCGTCTAAAGTTATTGTCATTCTTATTGTACTTGTGCGTTGGTAGTGAGTATATTCTAGCAAACTCACTCACAAGTGTTGGTGTGCATTCTTCGCTACTTCCAAGTAATACCAGCGTTATCGTCTCATCATAACGTTTGCATTTGCGAATGGCGTAGTAAACGTTGTCAATTTGAGTTGGTTCAACATTGGTGATTTCCTCGTAAGGTATCCATTCAAGTTTATTATCCTCACTCACATAACTGGATTCAACCAAGTTGTCAATTGCTGGATTCTTAATAGTCCCCGATGCTAACGACATGTTTGAATGAACAAGTTTCACTCCGCTCCCTTTCAGAAAGAGCATCTCAACGTTTATTGTATTACGTCACACGGGTGTTGGCCTCCGTGACTTATTTAATAGTTAAACAATTAAAAAAGACTAATACTAAACAATAGAAATTAAAAAAAAAAAAAAACATGACAAGACCTAACGAAAATATCGAAAATGAAAACTCTTGAACACGGTTGGTTGTAAAATTGCGCCAACGTTTCATAACCGTATGTTTACAGGTTTAACACCTGAACAATTATCAAAATGTTCATTAATTTCTCCCATGCCATGTGACTTGCTTATCGACGTAACATTGTTAGATCCTGTTATAACTACTTCTAGCGAGAATTCAGGAATTTGTATATCAAATACTTCACTAACTTTATTATTAATATTTTCTTTAATGAATACAGATAAATCGTGTCTTAAGACTTGCTTTACTCTTTTGTTGTATGGAATTTTGCTTCCGGTATTTTGTGCTTGATTGATTCTAATCGGGTAGTTGTATGATCATCAATAATAGGATTTATCTCAGTAGAGATTGCATTTTGTGTGGAAGATGTTTTTCGTACCAATTGTTGCCCTCGGCAAATATTCTTTTCCCTATTTCTTTCTCTTGCCATATTACTAACCCTCTCCTTTTCCTGTAATTCCAAAAATTCATTAGTTTCTTTCTCTCCCGATGATAAAGTACAGGAGATATGAAAGATCGGCTACCCTTTTCCTGGAATCGGGTGTGTTATCGGAACTATTTTCTATTCGTTCAGGAGCAACATCAAAATTTGAAGTATTAGCAGATATATTAGATGCGGAAGTATTATTAGAATTTTTCATTTTGGTAGAGGTGGTATTAGATACTGGGTATCCTGCTTCGCAGACTTCACTTGGTTTATATTTCGGAAAACAAATTGCCGGAGGCGGTCACACAGTGGCTATAATCTGGCTTCGAGTTCAAAGAACGATTTAACAATAAAGTTCTTTTCATCAGCTTTCGATTGCTTTTGTTCTAATTTCGCAACTCTAGCTTTAAGCTCATTATCTTTATCGTTCTGCTCCAGTTTCGCAAATCTGGATTCATGTTCTTCCAAAGCCTGTTTTAATTTTACGTTCTCAGCTTTATGTTCGATGTTCTCGGCCTCAACTTCTTTCTAAGTTCAGGAATTTCAGCATTCTCTTTTCTAAGTCGGACGCAAGCCTAAAGCTTAATTCTCTCAAGATATTAATTGTTAATTGATCGTTCGACATTGTTTTATTACAAAATAGAATATATTCAAAAGGTTAACCACACAAAAAAAATATTAGTAAAAATCGCACCGATGTGCATTTGATTATAATAAAAATCAAATTTATTATTATTATTTACTGTATATACTATCAACACTATAGGTTTTCGTTTGCCTAACTAAATTATTATAATACGAACGCGCGTATTAATGTTTTTAAAATGAAAAAATGGTTTGATTGGTCGAGCGCAGTTCATTGTCTGGAGTCTGGAGTAGAGCACTGTCAACTAAGAAAAATTTCGGACACATGAATTTCTCTGTCCGGCACATGATCGACCAATGATTGTGATTGTAATTGATTCTGATGGCGACAACGGTTCGAAATTATGCGCGAAACTATGTCTACTGACGCGTACTTCGAGGATTTAACTTACTGCTCGTTACTTGGCTTCCTGGAACACAAGCGTCCAACAAATAAAACCAAGCCCACAGTTTGTATAAGGGAACACTTCGTTTCATTTCTAAAAACGATACCATCAAGCCAGAAAGAAGAACTCGCGCGCAAGCTTGTCTAAAACATTTTAAGGTGAAGTTTCCACTTTACCTTTGTGTCGTACGTCAATGGAGAATATTGTTAGCTTGCCATTGTCCTATCCCATCCTCATGCGACCTCTGTGTCGTCGAGGGAGCTATTTTGTTCGACCTCTGTGTCAATGGGGGATGGCCTCTGTGCCGGTGCGGATTCCACACTACCTCCTAACCTCTGTGTCTTTCGCGTGTGTCCCTTTGGTGCAACATATTCTCCAAAATGATTTAGAAGTAGCTACTCATCAAACTCTCTATAAACTAGGAACAAGCTGATTCAGTGGCGGTGAAACAATATTGGTCGGAAATGCAAAAGAAACAAGTGGATGATTTGATTTCTCTCGAAGAGGTTAGAATTTTAATTCCTGAAACCTTGCCTTGACCTGCAGCTGAAACATCCATTTTAGTCTTTACATGTTCTAGATGCGACAAAAGATACACGAGATCAAGGTCACTTACTACGAAAAACAATTACAAACATTGTTGAAAAATGGAGTACTGCAAACCATATACTTACGGAAAATAACGCATTACAATCAAATTTTCTTAATGTAAGTTGCAAAATAAATCGAATTTTATTGTACTTATAACAAAAATGTAAACAAAAAGATCAGGTATTTAAATGATTTTTCTGTAAAATAGGTAAGAAATGACAATGTTGCCAATGCCTATTTTAAAGGCACTAGTTCGGAAAAGGTTAAAGAACCCCGAGAGAACGGAAAGTCGGCCTGTAAAGATAATTTGAGAGATGCTGAGGACCCGGATTATGAAGGATTGTCATTATTATTCGATGAATCAAATGAAGATGCCCTTGTGGAATGTATTGATGAAAGAGTACTCGAGCATGAGAATATATTGCCACAAGTTAGCGGTAATAACGTCTCAAAGGTAAAATTTAATGTTTAACAGTTGGAAATATATATTTTCAGTAGGCTCATTATATTACCCTCAATAGGATCAACGAAAAAATATCGATGCAGACATTGTCGAATCTTTTTACAAATATCAAAAGACAATTCCAAAAACCCGTAGAGTTTTTACGTATGTTTATTCTTTTCTTAATAATGGCATGATTACTGATACATTCTATTATTTCGATCCAATAGTCCCGCATATTGGGGAATTCTAGACTTAACCGGAGAAAGTTTATATGATTGTAAGACTCTCACGGGAGAGGCCATACTACAACTTTCACAAGAATTTGCTGACAAAATTTCCTGGAAAACAATGCCACCAGAAAAGAATGTACGAGAATACTTTGATGCTAATTGCGCGAAAAACGCAGATTACGATCATGACATCGGAAAATTAGATGCAAACATCCAGTTTATGTATGTATATGTTTTTTGATTATATTTTTTAATCTGGCTGACCCTGAATCTCTGTACAGGAAAAGCGGTGCATCTAATTTTCAAGGAATGATGACGGAGGAAGAATTAAAAATGAGTTTGACATTTCCTCTATTTCGTGGGATATTTACATCCGATAAAATTAAAAATGCTTGGTAGATCATTCATTTACATTTGTATTTGAGAGTAGGTTTCAAATATTCAGAACTAATAATAACCATTCTACATATCCAGGGGAGAAATTCAAGCTTTATCCACAAATTATGCACGTAATGAAAAGGCGAGTTTTTTTAAAAAAGCAAGAATAGGTAGACGCGTTCGCATGAAAAGTATTCTTATCAAAACAACTAGTAAATTCGAAATTATTTATGGAGAAGTATCGGGAGGGTTGGGTCCTCCTGGAATACCCACTGCCTGTCGTAAAAAGCGTTATCTTGACAAGGTAAAGCTTATGATAAGAATGCGGGACAGCATAAACGGACTTCTAAGAGAATGTAATCACGTAGCATTTGAAAAACGTACAAATTTAATTGTATACGGGTGGCTCCAGTTCGGTAAGTTTTGTCAACATTATTGTATTTATGTAAGTTGGATTTAATTGCTGATAATCTCCATTTCTATGTGTAGGTTTAGAATTGAACTTTTATGCCATGGATTGGTCAGGTGCCGGTATATACAGATTTGGGTTAGTGGATCGATGCAGATTACCGTCTGATGAGGATGAATTTGGGATACTTGAGGATGCGTATTGTATTCTTAAATTGCTTGAAGTAAGTGGTATCATTGCTAATTACATTACCATAAATAATTATCTACCTAACTTGATGATCAAATGTAGAACAAATCACTTGAGATCGAAAAAATAGTCAAACAACTACATTTAGAAAACACGAAAGGGAAACGAAGGCAAATTGCACCTGAAACTGATGCGGAATTGAATGAAAACCGCTCCCTTAAAAGATAATGAAAATCGTGCACGTTACATTTATATTGCCAAGAAATTTTGCGCTCATAAATGCTATGTAACTGCAACAATTGATTGAATTAATTATATATAGTGAATTGTTAAGAATATCATATGAACGTGAAAAATTTCTTGAATAAAATATACGCGCGTTACAAATTGTAACGATTCTGCTTTCCCGAATTATTTTCAGTCGAAAATTTCGGCCAATGTTATGTTAATACTGATCGCAGGTTACGACTTTTAAAATGATTCCCTTTCTGGGTAAGCAGATCTGCACAATCAGAATTAATTACAAGATAGCGATTACGATAGCCACGGCTTTCTAAATCAGTAAGAATTGCTTTACTTTAAAGATCTGGTACGCCATTCTTTGAGTGGCTTGTCCGATCACTTTTGCCAAGAATCATTGTTATCAGCGGAGCTGGCATGGCCAATACAATAAAATAAATCCCGAAATCTTCATTAATGCTGTTTACTTTCCGATTTATCATATAGCACGATATCTTATTGATATGCTTGTAATACACCCGAGATAGATTATGCAATGATTATCCCAAATGTAGATCCACGCGCCCGAAATAGATTTCACGTGTTAGTGTGTCAAAAATAGATCTACTATATCCGCGATTTATACATAAATATCGCCAACAAAATAAATTCTTTAGAATCAACTCTAAACTACAATTCTCGCAACAACCCAATATGTATGTCTCCCATTCTCATTGTACACATCACTCGCAAAATATGACGATTATAACACTCTTGAAGAGATGGTTCAAGAATCTAATCTGCACTAAAAATGAATTATATATTGGGTATAATTATTAAATCTAATAGGTCTAATCCCTAATCATAATGCAAATCACATATAACTTCCATAATCACTACAAATAGGTTATCTTCACATAACATAATTTTGAAATGGTCAATAAAGCATTCTACTAATATATCTACAAGGAGCAAAAACGTGTAGAACTAAGGGCTAATCTATATTATAAAAAATTGGTAAAACAATTACAAATGATAAAATTTATATATAGGAATACCTGTATATGAAAAATTATAATTATAGTAGTTTAACTGAATATGAAAAAAGCAATACAATTCCTGGGGTTGCAATTGTGGTTGCTCAAAATGATTCCGAGAAAAGGTTGCTGAATTACGTGAGGCATTTCAAGCTCTCTCTAGATGCGAACAGGATATATTTGTAATGGTTCAGCCGAAAACAATGAATGGCGGAGAAAAACCGCTAATCGAGGCCTAAAAAAAACGCGCACTAATAAAAAAACATTTTATTATTGAGATTGCAGTACGCGTCTTGTCAGAAAACGTATCTCAATGTGTTGGGGTCAGTCACACCTCGAAAACGTCAGAAATTATCTAGCGGCGAATGGGATAATACCGCGCGTTCATGGTAATGTCATAGTCAAACGAATGCCGCGATGAAAAACCAAAATACAGTCAAGACTGGATATAACGATAGCCCAATATAACGATAACTGGATCTAACGATAAAATTTGTCATTACCAAAACGTTCTTATTTAATTTTACCTGGTTATACCGATTTTACTATTAAAACCTCGTTATTACATATAACGATACGTATACGATGTACCAACTATTGTAGCAATATATTTTTATACCGATATTTTTGTGTGACATCTGCCCATGACCAATCAAAAACTGTACAACCCATTTCGTGTATCATATAACATATTCATTTCCCCGAATTTCAGACTTTCAACGTCTAATATTAAAAACAAATGTTACTCAATAAACGAACTACCAGCGAAAACACCCGATATCCAACAAAACGTTTGAGAACACGTTTGACCTTTGCACAAAAAAAGGATGTTTGTGTTAAACTCTCTAGTAAGCCCAAACCTTCTCAGGGAGAGCTTGCCGAAGAGTATGGAGTTAAACAAAATACAATTTCCGATATCTGGAAAAATAAGGAGAAGTGGTTGGCAATCAACTCAGAGTCAAAAGAGTTCAATAGGATGAGTAATCGTAGACCATTATTTCCGCAAGTAGAAGCCGCGTTAGTTACGTGGATTACACAAGCAATGCTAGATGGTTTTGTTATCAGAATGTAGTTTGTAGTATCACCGAATCTTTTCTTCAATAAAACTGAATATCAAACAAGATAGATCATATCTTGTATAACGATTTTTTTTCGTAACTACTATGTTATCGCTATAAATAGAATTCTTGGTATTAACGATAACTCGCTATAACGATGAAAATGTGACCTAACGGGAGTATCGTTATATCCAGTCTTGACTGTATATTGTGCTTTTGCATTCCTATATCAGCTGTAAATTGTTCATATTAATATAAAGTAGTCAATATCTAAGAAGTCCAATAAGTAATAATTTGTGTCTTTACTATTATTTTTATCCTTAATATTAATATTCATATTATTTATTATGAATTTCATGCATTCTACTTATATCTTGAAGCCAATTATAATACATTCCTTCTTTCTTTCATAACCTACACAAATAGTAAAATTAATCTATTATAATTACACAGAGAACTTACATGAAAAAATACAACTCCTGGGTCAATATCACACCATTCCAAGACTATTACAAACATTACATATTAATATTGGACTATAAATTTGATGTTCTCTGAAACAAACAGGTTGGTTTGTCATTTTCTGCAGTGGCTCTGATTTTGATTAGTGGAGCAGAGTCCACTCAAGTGATACTCCAATTGGTTAATAATCAATGTAGAGTCTAAGGGCATTGGCATTGGTTGGTTTTCTAGGGAAGGGTGGGGTGATTGATGACTGATTTCAATCTGTTTAGGATCTCTTCACTGGAGCTGTCTGTATTCATATCTTCTGCATCATACAACCACTACTGATTAGTCACTGTTCTCTTTAAATTTATATAATCCTTCTCTCAGTTCACTAACAGCCATTCACATCCGATCTTCACCATGACTCATACTATTGGTACCAGCAATTTTAAACCCTTCAACGTGCTTTGCCATTCAAGTTTCGTGATGTTTCCGCATAATTGTACTCTACAACATTATTAGTATGCGTACTACAAAAGTTTAAGCATCGCGCAATTATGATACCCAAAATTTCCTCGACAGACGCACTTTTTGTTAGACATACAAATACCCAAAGCTTCCTACCACATCACAGATAATTTGTCGATCCCACAAACAGAGATGTGAGATGAAACCTATTTTGTAGCTGCAAATCCCTGGTCTGTGCGTTCAGATGTTCCAATGTGTCATTACTCTCCTCGGCCATTTTACCTTTATTATTTGCCACCATTGCATCAAATACATTTAGACGCTCCTCAGTTATTTCATATCTCTCTCAATTTCGTCTGCATCAATGTCCACACAAGCTTCATAGCATCACCAATAACTTGCTCGAAATATTTCAACGCCTTTTCTTCGCCTTCACATCTCATTAGTCCATATAAATAGTCGACAAATCCAACGTTCATTTGAAAATGATTCGTGATATTATTTAATGTATCTTCGGTAAAAGCTGAAGTCATACGAGTCAGGCAACCCTCACTTGCGGTTTGGTAATGTTGGTACGCAATGTGAGCTAGTGCTAGATTAAAGTAGCTAGCTCGTATAGCTCGCATCTCATCGCAGTCACTCTGAATTAACTGGTATATATTTTCGTCTATAATAGGAGGCGGTTGTATTTGGTGGATATTTTCGCAGACAGCCAGACGAAGTCTATTTCCAAACTTTGGAACGGGTGCATTTATTTTTTCTCTCTCATGCTCGTAATTATCCATTGGTTCTGCTTGAAAACAAGGTTTTTCGGCGTGCTTCTGAGTTAGTTCGTTCAGTCGATCCATCATTTTACGTGACAGTATGGATCTTGGTTTCTCTACGTTTTTGGTACGAAGGCGTTTTTTCTGTCTCCTTGTCAAGCCTTTTTTGGTATTGCCCCAAATTGAAATAAAGAATGCAGTAAGCAAGAGCAAACATGTTGTTCAATACAATGAAATTTTCAACACTAAAAGATTACTACCTATTGGCTTAAGCGGCTCATCAGGAGTGTTCGGAATGGGCTGAACCTGACTATCGTGAGCAAATTTTAGTCTTTTGCCGAAAATATTTTCGATCTTGAAAATCATGGTTTGTAAAAGAGAATAGCCAGGTTAGCATAATGCAGATGTTCAATATCATAAAAACTAGCATCAACGTACCTCCTTAATTGACTCTGAATAACCAAATAAATGTGCCTTAGTTGTCCCGCGTAAATTTGCGCAAACTTCTGGGAAAGATTTGGTTTGAGTGTTTCCGTCAAAGAAAACATCATTCGCTTGGACAGGCAGTTGGAAACGGACCGACTTTCCCTTCTTGGAGGACGCCTCACCAACAAAGTTATTTTCGACTGGGAGAGATTCCGGCGCAAAACAATCGACTCCTTGAAGGTCTCTTCCAGAGGGAACGTTATTACTTTGATCTCCCAACACACGCGGCAACTGGATTGCTTCACTTTCAGACTCTATGTCCATGTCAGAGTCTCCTTGGCCGTCTACCTCGTCGTCAGATATTATTATATAGGAAATAGTGCTTTCACTCGTTGCTTCCACATCCTCAATCACTACTGGATTACTGTAACTCCCTAGTGGTTGAATAATATTATGTGTGGGAGATATGGGCACTATCAAGTTATTCATTTTGTCTTGCAAAAAAAACCAAAATATGCGACTGCGTTTCAGTATTTAAGGCGACAGTTTGTCAGACGTAACACAGTATTTTGGGATCTCGCGCAAGACGAGAACCACGCCACGTTGGTGATAAATAAACGCGTTTTCACTGCTTCTTATTACATCGCGTGTATGTACACAAATTAGTCTCATGCTCGTTGGCTATGCCATTCATAAGGATTGGACCACGTGAAATCATTGGGTGTGAACGTAGATACGAGACTACATTACAATGGAAATAAAAGAACTTCTTTATAATAGACTTAAACACGTTTTTATGGAAACCAGTGCTATAAGTGTGTTCATGGTTGTGCCCAATTTACGTACTTTGGATGTATTCGTCAGTGTTTAATACAAGAATTTCTTTTCACGTATTTCCAGACTGTCTTTCTACAATTTATTGCGCTGTTTATCTTGTTTATCTTGTTTCTAAATACACGTAGTAAGGGTGTCAAAGTCAAAGGCGCCTAATTTGATATTAGTCATTGAAACAATCGTTGTCTTTATAGTAATACCTTACAGAGCCTTTCAAACCCCTTTCTCATTTTCATCGAATTTTTGAATGAGACTTTTGGTTTCGGATAGTTTTTGACCGTTTCCCCACTGCGATCATTATCTTTTCTCCACAAGATCTATATAGCAAATTTGGCCTTTAATTTTTACTTTTTGAACGGGATCGATGGTTTTTAAAAGTCTAGTGCAAGTCCTGTTCAAATATGGCAGCAAGAGTTCTGCTTCACTGTATCAGATGAGTTTAATCGACTCCTTACCCTTGGACAGAAATGGTGAAAGATCCCAGGAAGCAATACTAACAAGCATGAACAGAAAGTAAACGATGCAATATTGAATTTGTTACGCTGCGCAAATTTTCATAATGCCCGTGGTAAGTGACGATAACTTTATATCTTTCGAAGCTAAATGTGGGGGTTTACCAGCGCGCGTTTTGACAGACTATCTTGCTGGTCTGGTATTCGGTCACCAATCAAGATAAAAGTACTTGAATTACCAAACAATATAAACAATAACGTTCTCGTGACCGTGTGTCTGCTCTTCAGTTCCCAATAAAGAAAGATTGTATACACTCGTTGATTTTTGGGAATGAAGATCCCTTTTTCTATGTCTAGAATACAATTGAAAAAGTCTGAAACAGAAAACCATTTGAGTGATCACAAACACCAATTATATTGTTACTCATGATTGAAATATATGCTATTACTATTTGCATTAGTATGTACTAGTGAATGACTGAAATTCGATTCGAAATGATAGCAGTCAACTCACCAGTTCGAGGGCAATCAGGTGCATGAGGATATAAAACAATGTAGAGAAAAATGGTGGAACAGAATAACAAAACGTTAAATATATACTAAGAATCACAAGTTAACTTGAGAATCCGCTATGCTCCTTGTATGCACTCGAACAATAAATAATTATGTACGCAAATCTGAAAAACTCCAAACAAAGAAAAAAAACCAAACCCTATTTGACAAATAAATTTGAATTGAATGGATGAATTATTTACTGTGGCGATGTTAGTGCATTAAAGCAGCGTCCTTGCGAATAAAAGTTTAAATATGTTTTTGGTCATGCTCCGCCTTTTGCCATATTAAATAGCTATGTATCAGAAATGAAAGAGGATATTTTGGTAGTTATGAAATGAGAATCGATATTGAATGACGTGAGAAATGTGTATTCGTCCGCAATTAAAAATGCGAAAAAGGTTTGATGAAAAATATTAAAAAGAAGGTGTGATGGGGAGCATTCACCAATAATTACAAAGGGCCGGGCTCAATGATACAACTCAAAAAGCCGCCCGTTGCAGTAATTGAAAGTCGCTTAACTTTATCACTAACACGCACTTTGAAATGTCAAGCAGGAATTTCTCTTGACCCCAAGCCCAAAATACAAAGTCCCAAGTGTCCTTACACAACACAAAAAAAATTTTTTGCCCTAATCAAGTCGCCGTTTCTGAAGATTGATCCGTTATACCCTCAGCTACAATGTTTACTCTCACTTCATTCCGTCTGAATGCGCGTAGTTCAATAACTCCACGAATCTCGCCAGGCTCTTTTGGCAGAAAACGAACAGGCATAGTAAAGCTTGTGCCCGGCTTTAATTGAACGCTTGAGAGGGGAATAGATAGAGCGGTACTACCAGCGACGGCTTCACATTTGCACCTAATCTTGATTACATGGTCAGATGGATTAATAATCTGAAATCCAACGCATCTACGTCTTCCGACCCTTGTCGGAGCTATCCGGATATCTCTCTCCGAAACCTGAAACTCAGCATCCCTTGTCCCGCCTGCTGACACTGTATTGTCTTCTTTGCCATCACCTTGTATACGAACCGCTACTCCTCCCGTTGTATCAGGATTCATGGAACCTTCCAACATAAAGTTCTGCACATATGTTCCTACAAACAGGGGATGAAAGTTGTAATCTACCCGTTCTGTTTGTCCTGGTCGAAGAAAACCGCTTGTTTTTGATATTAAGAAAACGTCATCGGTAATTTTTTGCGCAGTCGACGACTCCGACCGTCTAAGGAATGCATTTGTGGCAGTAGTTAAGTGCCATGTGACCGGTTTGTTGGTTGGATTATGAATTCGAAAATGGTCATGTGATGTCCCACGCACTGTTGTAGCCGTGCAAGAAACGTTTCCCGGGACGCCAATACTGATAAAATTTTTCCTTTGGGGAGGCTGCTTTACGATGGATTGGTTAATATTACGGTGTCCATCAGGAGTGCCGGAGCGAACGTTTGATGCAGGAGAAGGGCCACGTCTCGATCGATTTGTATCGGGCGTACTTGGTCGGCTGCTCAAAGAGGATGACGCAACTCTTCGCCGTACTGCCGGTTTCCCTTCAGGACTGCTTGATCTACTATTAAAAGCATTTGATGTGCTGCCTTTTCTGGTGGAAGATATCTTTCCTGACGAACCACTCGCTAAAACGGTGGATTTCCCTTTTACACTACTGCTGTTTGACTTGTCTTCTATGTTACCTCCCTTCTTTGAAACTGCTGTAGCTCTTGCTTTGGCAACTTTTAATAAATCGTCCATCTTGCCAGAAAGGCTTTTCCTACCAGACTTGCTTATTCGACTCAAAAAATTCACCCTTGTGTCATCCTTGCTATTTTTGCCTTTAACCTGTTCCAATTCCCCTTTTGCTTTCTTCTTAACCTGAACAATATCGACGCCAATCTCTTTATGATCCCCGTTTTCACAGCGTATTATAATAGAAGTTTTACCCATCAAAGGCCTATCCTCATCTTTTTCACTCCCTTTAATAAATCCTATAAAACTTTTAGAGTCTCTTGGATCGTCCATCTTCGACCCCGCAACGAGATGTTTCATCATAACTGATAGCTTAATTGCTGTTGTGCTTTTTGGCATTATTATTCCATATGCGGGAGAGATATCGAAGCGGAAAGCGGGCCATAGAATTTCGTATCGTAGAGGTTGATCACCGATGTTTGATATTGTGAATTTTGTTTCGTATAAAGGTTTTGCGTTGTGTTTAGCCAACGAAGAACTATTCGGGTTTCGCAATGACACTGGCACATTTCCGTTTGATGGGCTGTTATGTCTTACGGCAGAACCACCAACAACGATTAGGTGATCTGGCGAAACCCTCATACCAGTTGGCTCTTTATCGCCCAGTAAACGTAGACGACCAACGATGGGTGGATTCGATGATGGATCCCCTTTACCAGGATCAGTCAAATCAACTTCCTCGCTAGACCATACACCGATATCATCACCTTCGTCCTCTTCAGTTATCGTTGCTAAAGGCTGTTCGGGGACAGCAACAGGCGTCTTTGCGGCGTCCTTTACATCACTTACTGGTGGTTGCAGAAGAGAAGGATCTTTAGAAGGAGTCGATACGGTAAATCCATGACCTTTGCCTAATATACTGGGACTGCGTCGTTGATGATATTTCCTTAATTGTTCTAATGTCTTTTTTGCCCAAGTGTTGCCGACTTTACCTATATGATCGGCTGGGTTATCGCTGGGACGTGAATATTCCCCTCTAGCTTTGGGACTAAATGATGGTTTTGGCCATCTCCAAGTTGTTGTTGATTGGGAAGGAGATGACGTATCCGATTGTGACTGCACGGTCGATGGGGATTGTTCAGGTGATGTTTCTTGAAGAGGTGTCAATGTGATATCTGATGTCGATTGACAAGTTGTACTGTCAGACTCTGTAGCCGCAGATTCTTCTTCTTCTGTTGTTGTAGCTTGTTGCTGCTGTAGCCGTCGTTGTTGCTGTTCCCTTTGTTCTTCTTCTTCTTCTTCTTCTTCCTCGTCTTCTGTCTCTGAAATAACTGACATCATCACCTTTCTTGTTTCACTGAATGGTGCATGTCTTGCTGGAAATGACGGGGATACTCGAGTTTTAAAGGGACTCCTGTAGTGTTTACTTTTACCTTCATCACCACCTCTGGGAAAAAAACCCATCGTCCGTGTAGTCCGACCGAATACGTGGATTATGGGCGGGGAATTAAGATTAGTAAGATTGTTCTGATGTGATATTATTTCTTTTTTATTTTTTGTATCAAACTTTTCAGTAGTTGTAGATTGATTTTCGCTTTCCTCTCCAAATCTCCGAAAAAGTACGTCTCTATTAGGATTATTTACATGACGACTTTTTATCTCAAAATTGTCCATATTTTCCAAAGTATCTATTTCCTCCTCCACCAGTGGAAGAAGAGTCCCAGTGTCTAGGTGTTTAGAAAACGGAGACCCTTTAGACGACGAGCCTTTGCTCAAATTCGTCGACGGGTGGAGAGTTTGGGGGTCCACGTCTGTGTCTTTTGGTGTGGCTGAACCCTCAGTTACTTTGGAAGTTGTGTTATTGCGACCAGCGGTTTTAGGGAAAAAGAATGACGGTTGTTGATTAGACGGCTGTTCGGACCGGGGTAAAATAAGATTTTGTGAAGAATAGTCATCTATGAAGTTGTCAGACTCAATATTGTCCTTGTTTCTTGTGTTACTTTTGTCCTTGTTTCTTATTATAGGTGGAAAACTGCTGTCGGTTCTTTCGGTATTTGGGTATTCAAGGCCGTCTTTATCTATCGAAAAGGAAGTGTTTGAGGTGGTTGTTTCGGGTTTATTGATGGTATTGGTATTGTCTGTCAGAGAGGGTGTAGCTGAATTGTTGTCCACAACTTCCTTATCAGGCCGCTTCAATAAAGATTCCATGTATTTTAAACAGATCGGGTTGTTGGGGACAACACATTTAGTAGGAGAGTTTGACGGGGAGAGGGGGAGAAGTACCGCGAGGTGGTAAATATGGGAAGAAAGAGCGAAAGACAACGAGGTACTATTAGTAAATGTTGATACTTTTGGGAAAAATTTTAGTATATTTTTTTATATTTTTTGTAATAATAATATTTATAGTTGTTGCCAAGCAAGTCAAACAAATGAAGAGGAAATTTTGGGGGTAGGGGTAGGGGAAGAGTGGGGGGTATGGTGAAGGAAGGGTGAGAGGGAAGGGGGAAGGAAGAGGGAGAGAAATTAAAGAACGAGGGGAAGGGAAGAAGGTCGAACCTTCAGAGATTTAAACCTGCTTTATTTTGGGGTCAAAAAGTCGGAAAAGTGCAATATACAGGAATTAGCTGACGTCACATCGAAAAATGGTAAAAGTAGGGTATATTAAGTATATTAATATTGCGAGTTGGGAAAAAATTAACGAGAAATGGGTGATAAATGGATTCGTTATGCTATGTCTCTGCGAAGAATGTATAGATTTACTGTAATTGGATATTTGTTTATTACAAATAATTGGTAAGGCCGGAATAATAGCAAATGTGAGTTTAATGATAACTGGTAGCGGTAGATGGAAGGGAATGGATTGATAGGTCGGATTCGATAAGTTCATTTTGGGAATAAACAAACAATTGGAAATATAATGTATCCAGTAAATTACATACTGCGGCTATCAATTGTTATATAAATGTATATAATATATACAATACATATAATACATATAATACATATAATTATTATTATCATCATTATTACTATTATGTGTGTCATAAATGTTTATAATAATAATAAATATTAAACGTCATATGAGTGATAATATTTGGTGTCATATGCATTACATAACAATCCTTATTCTGAAGCGCGGCAGTCTCTTATGTCTCTGTCTCATTTTCATCTGTCAGCAAAAACATTAATACGCACTCCATATGCTCAATGATTGTTCTAATACATTGTTTGTTTGTTTTATTCATGATATAGGCACGTTTATCCGCCACGTTCTTTGCAGAAGCAGTGAAGATCACCAGAAAGAAATCATGAAACGTAATAAAACCTCAAACCAATTGTAGTTTGAATGTAGTTTGAATGTAGTATGAATTACGAAAATAAACTACGAACATGCCGAATAACATCATCGTATACCGATTTGCTCCCCCCACTACTTGACCCTCTCCCACCCCCCATCCCCCTGATAGGGATAGGTCAATCACTCCCCAACGAATGAGTAATGTAGTGGCTGGTTCATTGTTACATTTAAAGTACAAAAGATATTATTGTCCCTCGTCATCGTTCTGAGAATTGATGAGCATTTTCCCGCCAATTTGAAATAAAAAATATGTCAAACATCATTTGTATCACGATTTGTAGACTATTATGTGAATGCAATAAGTATATATACGGTAAGTAATAAAATCTAGATATGGAGATAAAGCAGTTTCGGATAATCGTCTGACAGAACGAGTGAACCCATTCCTTCCGTAGTGCAAATATAACGGTAAAGATTGGTGCAGCTCACTTATCTTCCGAAAAATGATTGGTGTACGAACGTGGTTTCACCAAATGCCATTAATATACCATGTGTAGTAAAGGACCCTTGGAATAGAATTTATGTCAACCCCCCGCACCATATAATCCCTTGATTTATAAGATTGTGTCTCTCTAAACTTCATTGTGTTTAATTACCCAAACCCCACATCGGAATTTTTATTATTATCCTCCTGCCACAAACTTTCCCTCGCCCAATCATATGCTAGTCAAGTTTGATGGCCAGAACATGGGCAGTATTTTTGTCTCGCTCAGAATATCCATTTTTGTCAACTATTATTCTATCAATCTCGGTCACATGCGCAATCAAACAGCCCATGATTGAAAACAAGGTTCGAATCTCCCTCGCACAAATATCCATCAGTTTCGTCGGAATTGGCTGAAATCTCTATAACCTTTTTTTAGAAGAATATCTCATCTAAAAGTGGCTAGTCCCTAGTCATGCTTTGAATGTTTGTTACAGCAATACATGCGCCTTCTCTTTTGAAACCTTGGTGAGCCAAGATAAGTGATTGTTTTTGTAATGTTTACCTTCAATAGTTATGCAATTCCCCTTGTTCGATAGCTCATGCGATGAAATGTGGTGCATCGACTGTGATAACATATGAATGCTAGACAAGGTTAATCTTTCTTTCTTTCATGCAGCTGTGCAGCATTCTCGATACCCTGTTTCTATTAGTGCAAAATAGATCTTCGTTGTATTCGTTGTCAGGCGCTGACATTATATAAGTAAGCTGCGTGAAAAAAGGTAAAGGTAACAGAAACGTCAACAGAAATAATGCTACTCGATAACGAGCTATTCTGCCGCTGTATGATTCTCATTTCCAAAACCAACAAAGTTTACCATTATCTAATTGGATTCTAATGCTTACATCGTTTTAAGTTCTTATTTTAAGAATATTTACTTTATCCTTCGCACAATAGTACTTTCAAAACACTCGCTTGAATATAAGGCTGTAGTATTATACTATCTTTTGAATAAAATATTACCAAAGCGGTATTTCGGAAAAGGACTACGATATGCGCGAATTGCATTGGCACTCGATGAACGCGATCGCAAATTAGATTGTGCAAATAATTGAAATGTTGGAAAGTCATTATTATTATCGAACAAAATTATAAGCCGCTCCGTTATCAAACATAATGAAACATAATTCAGTCTAGTCTAATGTTGTATCACGCAAATACGTCGTGAATGATGTCAAATAGTCACATATGGCCTATGACTTTTTTGAGACAAAACTGTAAATGATTAATAATGTTGCAAATATAGACAAGGTGCTCCCAATCTGGCAATAAGATATTATTGTTCTCAAATAGATTTTTAGTACACCTTTTATTTGAACGCTAAATGTATCAAGTCGACTTGAAAGCCCATCTCACACGGATCCAGTTGCAGAAACAAGGTTTTAAACACATTTAAACAATATTAGAGTTTCCCAATCCTATTAAGCAACTCAATTATGCCAACATAATAGCTATAATCGAGATTCTAATATACGGGGCAATTATTATCCTTCATAAGAATGCTGACTATATCTGGTTAATAACACAATAATGTTAACTTATATTGTTGGATTGTAATAGACTGGAAACAGAATGTTAGATTAAAACTTCTTATTCTAATGCGCGTAACAGAACACTTCATCGACCGAGCTGTTGTATATGCTACCGCCCAAATTTGTTTGCGATTATATCTAGTTTGAAACCCAACTGGGCGCTATCGATTTGAAGATCTTAGATGTGCAAAATTAAAATAATGTTTTTATTGTGTGTTTTCAGGCACCGCGCACAATTGCCCCTCAATTCTTGCGTTACAATGGAATAGGAACACTACAGATCATTAAATGATATGTAGTATGGATGTTAATCAATGCATTCCAATTCGATCATTAATAAAAATAATGCGGTGTATATTGTCATTCTTGTTAATAAATATTGCTCATAGTAAGAAAGATTGGCGGAATTGCAGGAGACTGAGCGTACGAAAGAAGGAGAAAGAAATAAGCTTATTCATCCATTAGCAAGTGAATTATGACAAAACTCTAATTTGGATGCAAGTAAGAGGTTAAACTGCCATTTGGCTATGAAAGAGAAATTAAGACAATGGTCGCGTATTGATTACTACAGTTATCACTATTAATTGTACCGTCCTTATTATTTCCATTTATCACTGTAGGCACGTGCCAACACAATGTGGGTAACGTGATTAATCTTTGAAAATTAAATTACGCGCAAACTACAGATAAATCGGTCTTTATTCTCAGACTCGAAAAGTTTATTGTTCTACAGATAAATTGTTGCATGCACACATCTCTTCTGAACGTTTTGTACAATCGAAAAGATCAAAGGAAAAAAAAAAGCACTCCCAATCAAATGTTCATATAACTAATCGTAAAATATAGTCCACCTGGTTTAACTCACTCTAAATCACGTGCCATGCATCAACATAGAAATGTACAAAAGAATACTACAACTCTGAGAGAATAATTGTTCGTTTAGCAGAATAACAACAATAAATTAACGACACCCATTTCGATTAAAGGATCAGAGACAGGAAAGACTAAAAGAGAGGCGAACTGAAATTTCGGGGAGTTGTAATGAATAAAGCAGTCTCTCAAAACACTAAGTAACCCTTCTCCTGACAACTCCATAACACTCCGGCTTCCGTTTCGTCCATAAAGTATACGTCTCGTGAACACTGCTAATCACCACACAATCTACTAAACTACCCCCTGTCGTGATTCCCCTTCTTTTACATTTTATCCCACAACACTCCCCCCCCCCCTCACCTTTCACGTTCATACAACCTATTATCTCGAAACACACAAATAGGCTTCTCACCAGTTGGGTTACACCGCCCAGCGGTAGTTAATAATCATCCTCAACCAGATAGCTTTTGTTTATCACACGTCTCTGCATACTACTCTGTCGTTCACCTACTACAAAACAAAGAATCGGCGGTTTTGTCATGATTAGTTAAGCACAAATCATATGGGTAGCAGGTTCTGATTTCTGTGTTATTAACGGAATCTTTGACTATATAGCATCCCCAATTAACAAACACGTCGATCATAACGACGACATAACTCTCATCGAATGGTTATCGAGCGAGCATCTGATTATTCGCCATAATCTTTTGACTAGTAAATATTTCAGCTTACATACTATGCGTATTTTTGTCATCTCAAAACTTCAACTCGTTACACTGTCCCATCGATTTTCTACCAGACAAACGTCATCTTTCCAAACACCAGTTCGCTCACCTAATAACGGCTACGCTACATCACTTCTTGCCGACGATGAAAGTGGCAATGAACCGTATTTTCCTGTCATACTCAAACCGTTCACTTTTGCTCTCAATCCACCAGCACTAGTCGATCCCTCGAGCGACTTTCGTGAATATGACGAACCCAGATACGTCGATGCCGATGTCCCATTCTTTGAAGACGAGAATGACGACGTATATGAAGAGACCAAAGAGCGAGTTGATGACGACGTGGTTGTGCGTCTGGACGAATGGTTCTCCTCCTTGTGCGAGTTCTTTCGCCGGAGAGCATCGTAATTGGATAAATAGTTTTTGGTCTAAAATTGTAGATGGAGAGGTAAAGAGTAACAAGTACGTTATTTAGTATTTAGAACAAATTAAGGCGCTAATTGCACATTTCCAATCCGATTCTCCTATCTGCTTACGTTTATCTTCACGTCTGTTATCCATTCATGCATAAGCCCTTCATCAGGTTTCATTCGCTTTTCGGGATCCCATTGTAAGCATCGAGATATGAAATCCAGAAACACTTCATCGTTACACTTGAGTGCCTGAGTCAACGTCTTACTCCCCGGTCGCCGACGTTTGCCTTTGGAGTTTACTACCGGGCGAGGACTACCATTAGAATCAAAAAATATTCTTTTCCTTGTGCTCTTTTCTATTAAATACTTGTCCGGTAGTCCTTGAACTTCCATAATACAAGCCAGCTGTTCCTGTTCGTTTTCTCCCGGGAATAATGGATAACCAGTATACAGTTCAGCCAAGATACATCCAAGACTCCACATGTCAATGGCCATGTTATATGTTATGCCTAATATAACTTCAGGTGATCGATAAAAACGACTCTGTATATACGTATAGACTTTCTCGTTCTCGAAGCACGAACTGCCAAAATCTATAACTTTTATGCTGCTTTTGGTGGGATGCTTTAAAAGCACATTCTGATATAATGCGCAAGAAAACACATTTAGTCCACAATGATCAGAAATTGCAATTGATATAATATCCTAACACATTACAAAAATTATCCTTACCTCTGGTTTCAAATCGCAATGCACAATGTTATGCCTCTGAAGTAACGACAGCGAATTCAATAATTGCGTGCAGAACCGTTTTATTAAACCAGGGCTGAATCCTTGGAAGTTGTTACTTTTTATGAATTCGTAAAGATTTACGCTAAGGAGCTCAAAGGCAATACAGAGATGGTTTCTGAAGTAAAAGTGGTCAGTCATGTGAATTATGTTATGATTATCGTCCGGATCCTAGACATGCAGAATCATGGTATATAGAATGTTAGCCGCTGTAACATTTGCGTTAGTCACGAAATTCTCAAAAATCGGATCTAGACCTGTAGACCTACCCATCGAGCAAGAGATTCTAAAATCTTGACCTCCACCAAGGCCTGGCAATGGAACCTCTTCTTGTTTCTGATAATCTTTACTGCGACATGTTCACCAGTCTTATGATCAAGACACTTTAACACTTGACCAAAAGAGCCTTTACCGAGACTATCTATTATTTCATATCTGTAACACAAATGATCTCCCATAACCACCAAATAGTCACCCCGCTCATCATCGAAGCCAAAGTTACAACCAGTCAGCTCTGTGCTTGCAGGTTTCTTGGGCGCATTTGGAGCAGTGAAATATACGTTTGGATATTCGACTATTTCCGTACGCTCGTATTGGGATAAATATGGTCCAAATGTCTTTAATGCTGTCTGCGGAGACATTGGCGTTGTACCTTTTGCATGAGATTCTTTTTCCCTCTTCTCCCGCAGCTTGGGCTTTGCGTCTGAACACAATGGATCTAATAGATCTTGTTTCAAATGCTGCCCACTCTTTTGTAGATCCGGTAACGATGAGCTGCTCAGCGACGTTTGTACTTTCGTCGTTGCGGTTGGTGCAGCATTCGAATTTCTTCGAGGTTTCTTGCTGACGTTATTGGAGGCAGAAACGTTCGTTTTCCCACTGGTTGACGTCATAGTTACGTGCGTCGATTTTGCACTGGGTTGCAACGTACTGCTTCCTGATGGACGCCTATTCCTCGGTGACAGGCGGCTAGTCTTGGAGCCGCTCGGCGAAGGCAAAGTGGGGTTTGTGGGTTTTGATGATCGTGTGGCTATTCCGGTTGGAGTTGGTATTTTAGACGGAAAACTTGTAGTACCCGCAGATGTCGGTGTAGACGGTATTTTTAAGCGAGTCTCGGATTGATTGGGAGTGTTTTGATGTTGGCGAATTCGGTCAAGTGGAGGTAGCGATGGTGGATTGTATGGAGGAAATACTAAGTTTTCGTCTAATTTCGGGTGATCTGTTTTACCGGGCATCGTCTAATAAAATATAAAAAAAAAGGCATGAGTGGATGCAAAATGTGAATTTGATAAAAGGGAAGCGTGTGTATTTAATGTCTTTCTAGGTGATAGGCATTGAAACTCCGATTTATAATATCACCACATATCGCACAGCCTATATTTTGTATAATGCTCAATATTACAATTAGAGTTATACTAATTTACCTGTCCTCTTGGTCGCCTTCTATGCCCATCAGTACTGGCAGCTTTTTCTCGTCTAGAAAGCGATGTTCCTCCACTACTCTTTACGTCAGTGTTACCATATTTCTTTTCAATTACGGATTCTTTGAGCCCGGTTGGTACCGGGGGTACAGGAGGAATATCCTCATTAACCCTACCAACTCCGCGACTTCGTGATCTTGGCTGCGGAAGCATGCTTGGAGGAGGGACAGCTGGTACGGGTGGTGGCTGACTCGATATTTGTAATGGTGGTGGATGGGATAACCGATGATTGACAATGTTTGGTGTTGTGCTGCGAGAAGTAGGTTTCTGTGAGCCGGATGTTGAAGTTGACGATGCAGCAGCAGACGACGATACGCTCGATTGGCGACGTCGACTGATTGACGTTGGTGCTGAGCCGACTATAAATTCGTTCTCCTTTGAAGACGTTTCGGCTCCTTTCTTAATGGGAAATAGTCCGCTTGCACTATGATTGCGTGCTGAAAGCGGAAGCTGTAATTTGGTGAGTGCGTTATTATCGGCTGGTTTAATTGGCATCGTTTTACTTCTCATTGGTGCTGGTATTGCCGGTGATGGTGTTTGATTTTTTCTATCATCATCAAAGAAAACAGACGATCCATTCGTTGAGCTCTTTTTTGGACCATTGGATTTATTTTTTGCTGTAGATGTTTCGTAGACACTTCGTCTCTTGTTAAATTCTTCAGACGCAGGTGTAGAAGTTTTAGATGTTTTTGGCGCAATAGATGTATCTATAGTCATTCTCTTCTTCTCTTTCTTCTTTCCAGAATCTTTTTGCTGTTGTAATTTCTCTTCTGATCGAGTAGATTTGAGGGATTTTTTATCTGAGGTTGATGTCTTTATGTCCGAAGTCAATGCAAGTCCTATTCCCGATATATCGGGTAGATATTTGTGCTTGACATTTGCTAGCGAAGGAAACTCTGATGTAGCGCCCGTGCTAGTCTTCCTTCTGAACATTGCTAGTGGATCACTGTTCGACGTTGTTGAACCTATTGATCCGTTCGTATTTATTCCATTAGGCGTGTTGGCATCTTGAACGCTTGTTCGTCTTGTCATTCTAGGTTTGACTGGAGTTGACGGAGTTGCCGTCGAGCGATTCTTGGCAGATGCCGACGATATTGAAGAACGACGGCCCTTACTGTCAATACTAAATGTATCAGACATAATATGAAATATAATATGTTAGCATACGTGCCGCATTAAACAAGTGATGCGAGAAGAAAGTATTCGAGATAATTAATTTGAAGTTCAACTAAATAATATTTCCTCTATGTAACAAAAATTACTATAAAAAAGAGAAACGCCAAAGATTAAAAATAATGTAATGAAATGAAATGCAACAAGGTTAGTAGTAAAAACTCTGTAATCAAAATGTGCCTATGTATATTTGAATCGCTCAGACGATTGTTAAATCGTCGTCAATCATATTAATGTTAAATTAATTGCCACGAATACCCATTCTTCTCGACCAAAACATTCTAATTCGAGATATTAATTTTCGATAATGATAAGTAATGCTTGATATAATAACAGGAAATGAGAGCAAGCGAGCGGTATATAAATCAATAAACCACAAGAGGAAGGGATAAGCGGTGCGGAGCGAGAGGAGAGTGCAGGCTGAACGGATGAATAAAGTGTAGCAACTTTGATCGTGACGTGATGATGATGATGATGATGATGGTGGTGGTGGTGTGTGGTGGTTATGGTGATGATGGTTATGGTGATGGTGACGACGATAACCACGATGACAACGATGATGGGTATGAATGGAGACTGATATAAGAGCATGGGATATCGTAACAAATAAACAACTAATCAACTAAGTAAAGGCTAATGTATCAATTATGCAAGTTACATCATAAAAATACACACGCTTTGCAACAATAATTTGTGATATATCTAATATAACTAACGCATCATCGCTCTTTTTACTCTCTCTCTTCTCTCTACACTCATTCTGATTTCTCTCTCCACCCTGCATCATCTTATCTCTGCTCCAAAGTCACCTTCAATCCCTTCCCTCTGGGTCGCCCTTCGTTTCCGTCCTCGGCCATAAACATTACTCACCCATACCCAGGTTTACCAATCTCTCCGTCATCATCCTTTTCAATGTTGTCATCTTCTCGGCGCCTTCTATTAAATAAACTATCCATCCTGGCTAATATATCATTTGCAGCACTCCCAAGTTCCTTCTCAACCTCTTGGAGCTCATTGAATGTGGTTAATACCTCTGCTTGCACTTCTTTATACCTTCTGTTTTTGCGCTCTGACTTGTGTTTATGAGAAGAGTCGGAGGAAGCGGTAGTGGATGAAGGAACATCCCTTGGTTTTGATTTCTTGTGAATAGATGTTATTGACTGAGACACTTGCGGAGCATTATCAACCATGGTGAATGTGTGAGTATCTTCTATATGCTGACAGTTGAGAACCTGGTCAATGGGATGAGTGTTGTAGGAATTTTTATTACTCTTTTCTCTTTTCAGTTAATTGCCTTGTTGCCTAAATGACTTGGTCTACTTGTTTTAAATGCTCGCTGATTACACCAAGTCAGGCAGTTTTGTTGCTGCTGTTGTTGTGTATGTCACAATAGTAGCAGGGTGTAGTTGCCTTGGGTTTTTTGCGGTAATTTATTTATTTCTGCGTTTGCAGTTGTCAGAGATTTTTTCAGGTTACGAGCGGGTGGTGTTGTGACCAGGAAACGGAAAGCTCTGTCTGTGGTAGGTTAGGCAGCGCTGCAGTTGACAGCCGAGTAGCCGAATTAGTTATGGTAATAGTGTGTCAGTATCGAGCAGCAGTTGAATGAGCGCTGGCTTTTGATAGTCTGCTAGTTTTACGAAGCGTATGTATCATGACATACAGAGTGTGAATAGGAATGAAAAGGAGAGTGACCTGTTGCCTCTCTTATTCAAAGTAACTACTTCGGGTAGGAGGATAATGGTTGTTAGTATTAGTATTGTGAGTTTGCGAGGGGATGGGGTTTATATGTCTCTTTTGGTATTTTACTATTACTCTTCTTTGTTCAGTTAAAATTTTTAAACATGCTATTCAGTCATGTTCTTTGGGTTAATTCTACTTACTCTCAGTAGCTGTGATAATCGTTTTTTGTTGTAGACAATGTATAATAATAAAGCAAAGCGAGTATGTGGGGCTTTGATTGGATGATGATCGGATGATGATTGGAGTTCTAGCTCAGCCATTACTATACATGCGTTTCACAAAGTGAATAGAATAATGTGCATTGTGGGTGAGTATTTTGGAGAAAATCACAAATTTGGATGTTGGTCTAATAAATAAAAAAACAATACACAAGATCTTTTGGTAAACAGTAACATTAATAAATCGATCAATCATTGACCTAATTAATTGAAAACTGTTTCTTGAATGGTTGAAAAACTTTTTATTACTTTTTTTACCCCACCTCTTATTAATTAAGGTCGGCTGAAAAACATTTTCTAATGATGTAATTCTAATACGTTGAAATTCATGGCAAAGCCAGTTACACAACACCCAACAGGGTATGCCACAAAAAATTTGATACTCCCGTGACTTTCAATGCGTAGTCTATCAGTATGCATTAGTCATAGAACTAGACGAACGTGAGAGTTTGAGACTATGAACAGGCCATTGGCACAAGTTCATAGTAGAATCCGAATCATTTCCATACAATTTGTTCAGTGTGTCCGGGTTAGAAAGTACTAATTATAGAAGATGTTGACCATACGCATTTGTTTGCTTCCGCCGAATTCTTGAATTATGTGCAACGCAATTTAAAGAAAAGATGATATGCAATCGATTCCCTTGCTTGTAAAACCCATTTTGGTTCCATAATAAATATATCATTGAGCAGATTGGTGAACTTTTAGGTTGAACTACTTTGTAGTGTAAATATACGATTTTTATATGCTTGAACAACAATTTGTTTTGGAAGTGGTAGTTTTTTTTTATTTATTCCACGATAGAATTCTTACAAAATATTTGAAAGCCAATCTTTTTGGGTAAGTCTTTTGTAAATTCGTAATGACTCTGAGAGCTTTGAAAAGGCTGGTCTCCTGGGACCTAGTATTTAATAGGAGCAACGTGAGTTTCTGAGGAGCAAACATTGAGACGAGCAAATAATGATAAATCCCAACTACCACAAATAAAGATCAAGCCCTTCGCCATTCACGCCTTTCTTCTGACTGCTGAACACCCTGATCACCCAGCTCATTATCCAGCCTTATACTCACTGGTAACTCTGGTAAAGAATATTTAATATTAACAGGTAAAGAATTTTATAGATAATGATGTAATTTTACACAAATGCGGAAGCGATCTACCAGTTACACGGGTGAAAACATCTTACTGTGATTGGTATGTATTAAACATACACATGTGATAATCATTAGTATAACTCATCACATCCGATATATCAAAGGAGGAGAATTATGCCCATGCATCAGCATTCTTGATATATAACGTGTATACCTGGTATAATACCGTTCGCTGTGCATTAGATACGACCTGCGCATCGTGGTGAGCACGTACAGTATATCAGCAACATGCCTCGTAACTATCTTTGATATACGTGCAATAAGTACAGAGCGTAAATTTCCATGTGTGATTTGCATATGACACGTAACTTCAAATGTGCTAACACAATGCATGTTTTCAAGGCTGGCTTTTTTTTTTTTCGGGAATGCCATCATCGCATGTTTATTGTTATCATTGTTGTTACTACAATAATAGTATTTCACATATGCAATTACAAATAGTCAATATACATCATAATAAGCAAATATAGGTTTGAGATGCATTCATATGATTTCGTTTGTTCTTCCTCCGGTATTTGTGATAGGTCTTGAATCCAAACTCTCTATAATGAAGAGCGAGAGAACGAAGGAGAGAGAGTTGGATTCTGTCCTTGTATTAGTATTACCATGTTCATAATACCTATTTCCGTCCAACTCTATCGCCACGTCCGGTTGTAAACACATGTGCACGAAATTGGGGGCCAATCAAATACTTGTAGTGGAGCAAGCAATTCCAGAAATCATTGAACGATTGGAGTCTCATAATGATTACAGTTAATCTATTGTCTGGTCTTTCATGGCACTTTGCATATTAGTAATAGGAACAATCATGAAACTTTTTTTTCTTATATCCAAAATTTGTAAGAGCAAGAATTGTAGACATGTGTTACACTCAGATGCGAACACCAAGTCGTGCTTGCATAATGCAGTGTATCGCATAATAATGACGGATAATGAATTGTCTGGCCAGTCTTTCGCCGCTGGGGTTCTATATTTTGCAACGAGCACACCGCGATTGTCTATATATTGCGTTAACATTCTAAAAAACCAAACCTGGATAGAAAGGATTAATTTGGTTGGTATGTCATACTGAATTGTACAAGTGCGTGGAGTACATGCTAATTTTAAGACTACCTGTTATAGCGAACGTTAGAAATAAAGTCGTATTATGCCATTGGATACATAACCAATTATTTAATTGACGTTTTTTTACGTGCAAAAAAGTTACTCAACCGGTATGCATTGGCCCCCGTCCTCCCGCAACAGGTTTAGATCTTGTTTTTATCGTCGTAATCTAACTTCAATCTGTTTTGCCAAGTTCAGACAATTAATGTAATTACAGTGGTTTGCTATCCATTGACATGTTCCCCTTTGCAGCAGCAATCTTCGATCATCTTTTTGTTCGCCATTCTTGGTTTGCCGAAGAATGTGATGTTAAGGAAACGTGACTCACAGATCTCTTATCAATTATGCCCTGTGTGAAATTGATCGAGATCACTCACACAATGAAATTTGGAAAACACTTGCTAGAAAATCAAGTCCAAGGCTGGGCTGCAGACGTAAGTATAGCGTATGAGAGAGAGATTCTCGAAACTCGGTTCGAGTAACAGTAAATAAGACCCAGCGCGCTTACTAATGCATGACCACTAAAAGTATGTAGACTATAAAAAGCTCAAGAAAATATTAAACCGTTTCAACCGGTAAGCGTTTTAATTATACTGTGCAAACAAAACTTAATTACGAGTTTGATAAAGCTGTACTTGTTTGTGTTCTATCAACAAGGATCTCGCCGCATTCGCTTGATGGATGATAAAGTCACCCCGTTTGAAAAGCACGAGTATGCTGTATATAGACCATCTCGATATTTTTATTTACCTTTCTCTTCTCCTTTATGCATTTCGGTGGTGGCCTACTCGTTAGACAAAATTTTGCACACTATGCTCCATACACAGCGGCAGTGGAGAAAGAGTTCTTTGAAGCTGTCCGCAGAGAAGTTGATAAGGCTGAGAAATTTTACGTGGATATATTAGACATTTTAAAGACTGACTTTCAGGATTTGATCTTGCAGAGTTATAGATTGGTAAGTCGTTAAAAATCTCTATAGTACCGATCGGGAAAGTAGTTTATACAAAATTCTCTTACATTATTGGATCGCATGTATGCTCTCACTGCATTGGTATCTCAGTACGTTTATTTATGCGTAACCGAAATTCGTTATCATTTATGCAGAAACAACGCAAATCAACCACTTCTTCTCCCTCCTCCCTTCTTACTTCTCCTGAACCGCATTATCGTCCAATTGCCTCCTCGTTACATTGCCTGATCCAAACCTTAAACTTGTTAAAATACAATTACCTTCCATTTAGCAAGCTGGCAATTAAAAAGATTTTCAAGAAACACGACAAGATTGTCGGAGCCGTTGCAGTGAACCAAGAGATGGAAGCGTTAAAGTACGATGTTATAGACACGATAACCAAGAAGAAGGCGTTCTGGGTCAAGGGAGAGAAGAGCGTTGGAGAATTATTGAATGAGGCTGAGGTAAGATGTTTGAAAGGAAATTGTGTGTTACGGTTTCAAAGATAAGAGCATTGAGGGGGGATAAAGTGGGATATGTGATATAACAAGGATTGTCGAGAAGCATCTACTAAAATCAGCACATTGATCAACTTTTTTTGCTGTACAGAACTTTCAATTGGAAATTGGCAAAATGTCTATCCGAAATTATTGCGATATGATCCCTTGACGTCGAACTTATTAGACGTGTGCATTTCTTGAAATCATTTTTTGGACGCAGTATTTCTAATCTTCATTCAACATCCCCTTTTATTAATAGCCTCATGCGCACAGACTGTAATGTTTCGGCGACAGGTTTTTTTGACGTGGGATTAGGGTGTTAATAATGAGGGTTGCGGTCTCAATTATCCGATACTACACATAATTACTTGCGACAGTAATAACAAACACTTCACTTTAACTCATTTGCCAACACGGATAATAGAATTAATATTAATTGTTTCTTTGCATTATCAACAACATTTA